TCGTTGCCCGCTTCTTTTTCTTCATTTAGAGACACAATCTTGTATAGTCGTGATACTCTCACCATAGAGGAAGTGTATGATACTTTGTATTCAAAAGAGAAGATGAAGCATCTGGTTTCTGATACCAGAGATGGAGAAGGACTGGTTGTTCATGGTGGTTCTGGAATGGGCAAATCGAAATCTAAGTTCAGTAATCAAATTTGTAACTACGGCAAGAAGAATGTGCACTTAAAGAAGGACTGCTACAAATTGCAAAATAAAGAAATGATGGTTGCAAGTAGATATTCAGATACTTCAGGCGAAGCAGACCTTGTGGAGAACGTTGTAAGTGATGGAGATCTCTTAGCTATTTCTGATATCAAGTCTAAACTAGAAGATGATTGGATTCTTGATTCAGCATGTGTGTTTCATATATGTTCTAATAAGGATTTGTTTGCTACATATGAAACTGTTTCCAAATGTGTCGTGGTTATGGGAAACAACGTTTCTTGTCGGGTTGTTGGGATTGGTACAGTCAGATTGAAACTTTTAGATAAGACAATTAGAACACTGGCCGATTCGACATGTTCCAGATTTGAAGAAAAATTTCATCTCGTTGTCTATCCTTGATTCAAAAAGTTATGAGTTCTTTGATGGTGGTGGAGCTTTGAAAGTTTGTAAGGGTGCTTAAGTTGTATTGGAGGGACATAAAAGGTCTAAATTATACATCTTACAGGTTGTGTAAAATTTAGAAGAATCAATCAGCACAAGTTTAGTACCGTGGTGGATATTCAGTTTGATACAATACCTTTAGGAGCTCATAAGTGGTCAGATTTGAAGAAGACAATTCAGTGGAGTTCAGGAGATATGTATAATGCCGCTTTGCCACCATCACCTACGGTGCCATTGTATTCAGTTGCTAGATACGGACCCAATGGAAAAATGTATGTGGATGCTAATTTTGTTGATCATGTTTTAAGTGGAGTAGAAAGTGTACAATCTAGCCATGAGTCTTCTATAAAAGCATTTGGTATTGATTCTACTTTAGGGTGTGTTACAGCCCATTTTGGTTAATTCAAAATCATTTTGATTTTTTGAGGATTTGAGATAATTCTGCATAGTAGTACTTGGATCCATTGGAAGAGGTGAATTATTGTGTTTTATTGGAAAAATTAATTTTTTGGTTACTGTTGAATAAGCCATTCATTTCTTGGTGGAATTCGTGTCAATGTTGAGATTGTTAGAATTCTAATTGAAGTGCACGTCATGAAGAATTCAAATTTGAAATACTATTGGAATATTATGCCCGGGAGTAGCGCCTTGGTGTTACCGCGATGTTTTCGTTTTTCCATTTTTTCTCTCCTATTTAGTTTATGATTCAATTTTTTGATATTCTACTTCAACAAAAGCTCTACCAAAAGGGTTTGGACGTTCCCTACATGTTCTCTATAAATATTAGGCTCTTTTATACAATCTTATAAGTGTGAGAAAATAAATTACTAGAATTATAGGGTCTATTGTAATTTTTCTCTATTCTGTATTATTCTTGAGTTAATAAAATCTCTTAATTTTTCTACCATATTCTTGTCTTTATTATTATCTTGTTTGATCATATATTTCATTATTAATTGCCATATAACTTCAATATCTCAATACGGTGGTTTGTGTCACAACAAAATTTTAAAAAAACTAACATCTATTAAATCTCAAAATTACAAAATAAAGTATATTTCATATAATAAAAAATACAAATAAAAGCATAGTCCATACATTCACTTTAGCTGAAAATAATGCAAAGATAAATGTTAGAATTTGGGTGTGACACGAATTTTTTATTGAAGTAATTGAAATATTCTAATTGAAGTGCACGTCATGAAGAATTCAAATTTGGAATACTATTGGAATATTATGCCCGGGAGTAGCGCCTTGGTGTTACCGCGATGTTTTCGTTTTTCCATTTTTTCTCTCCTATTTAGTTTATGATTCAATTTTTTGACATTCTACTTCAACAAAAGCTCTACCAAAAGGGTTTGGACGTTCCCTACATGTTCCCTATAAATATTAGGCTCTTTTATACAATTTTATAAGTGTGAGAAAATAAATTACTAGAATTATAGGGTCTATTGTAATTTTTCTCTATTCTGTATTATTCTTGAGTTAATAAAATCTCTTAATTTTTCTATCATATTCTTGTCTTTATTATTATCTTGTTTGGTCATATACTTCATTATTATTTGTCATATAACTTTAATATCTCAATACGGTGGTTTGTGTCACAACAAAATTTTAAAAAAACTAACATCTATTAAATCTCAAAATTACAAAATAAAGTATATTTCATATAATAAAAAATACAAATAAAAGCATAGTCCATACAGTACACAAATATTCAAATATGTTCATATTATCTTTAATAAATCAGACTTGCAGCAATTTTGTTTCTCAATTTCTTAATTGTTATATGATAAGAAAAGATATCAAATAAATTTGAATTATCTTTAATAAGAATTATGGAATTGAAATGCTTTTAATATTGGATTACTAATAAATTCAGGATATAAAAGAATAAATAAAATTTTATTTTAATAATAGATAAGTATTGGACAAAGCTAGAAACAGAATACGAGGAGCTACCTTTTGATGCTTCTCAAAATTTGATGTTAGATGGTCGTAAATGTTCTCCTGCCCGCGGCGGGCAAGCTTATAATGCCCACCTGCTGATGTGGCAGGAGAACCCTACGTGGGGTTCTTTTCAAATGTGAGAACCCCACGTTGGGTTCTCTCCGAGTGGGCATTATAAACTTGCCCGCCGCGGGCAGGAGAACGGGAGCAGATAACGAAATAGATTATTCCAAAATCAGCATTTTTTTTTTTTTTTTTTGTAAACTTACCAATTGTTTAAAGTAGCTTCTAATTCTTTATTAATCGGAAATTGTACCTCCTTCCCCCGCTGCCTTCCAACCCGTGGGTGTACTTCATTGTGAAATACCATATTGGCTGTTGTCCCTCTTTTCATTGTCTAATTCGTGAACTGTTATTGTGGAATATTCATACATTTCCTTATTCATTAATATTATTCATTTTTTTATATATTTTTTTTTGTTTTCGGCAGGAGAACCCTACGTGGGGTTCTCTCCAAATGTGAGAACCCCACGTTGGGTTCTCTCCGAGTGGGCAGTATAAGCTTGCCCGCCGCGGGCAGGAGAACGGGACTGGTTAGATGGTATATATTCTTCTATTTATTTAGTTCTAGACATCACTAAAAATGTGAAGTAACTTGTCTGCTAATGCTCTTATTTTAATATGCATTGTAGCGTTCGTCGCTATGGTAATTACCTCTATACGTTCCGTCAAGGAAATGAAGTAGTCCACACGAATGGTGATCGAGTTTGGTAAGATTGTATTTCATTTCTTATTTACAGTTCGTGACAAATGATTGTGTTATAAACAACGAAGAAGATACCCAATTACTCTGATACCAATTTAATGTAATAATAGGAGAGAAAATAAAATATGACACAATATAAAGTAATTGTTCGTAAGAACACAAGAATAAAATAATTTGCAGAGTAAATGAGACTTCACTAAAATATGGAGAAATAATATAAAACTTTCGTGTTTATAATTTATCTAATTTAATCTAAATACAGTGAAGAATTAAACATATATAGTGGATGTTTCAAACCCTAACAGTAGAGTTATAGGTAGAAAGGAATACTCAAAACACGATAACGGGTCTAAGCCGGACGAGCCGTCGCTCGAGCGTCGGAGGGTGCCAAGGGGCGGTGTGGCATCGCTCGAGTGCCAGCTCTTTGCACAAAATTTCGACAGCGTCGCTCGAGCGGTTGGCTAGCGGAAAAGTGCCGAAAATTTCTCCCTGATTCATATATTGACCTCTTCAAGTCCAATTCAAATTCCAACTCCCAATGGACTTTCAAATAGAATTTCAACTAAAATTTACCAAATATATTTCGAATAGGATTTCAAATAGAATTCTTCTTAAGCGAATTTAATTAGAATTCTTAACTATCTTTCAAATAGAATTCGGATCACACTATAATTCTTACATATTGAATAATATATTTTGTCCGAATTTCGAAAAAAAAAAACACTTGTTTCAATGATCAAGTCACCAAGCTATTTAAAATGGCATCTCTACATGTAACTCGATGAAGGTTAAAAACTACATAAATGTCTCGATTGAGTAAATAAATGTTACATCATCAAAAGAAAAAAAGAAAAAATATTGAAAAATAAGAGAGATATAAAACCAAATTTTTTGAAACACAAGAATTGATAAGAGTGAGAATTATTATTAAGTAAATGACACAAAAATAAAAATCAAAGAGTGAGGGGGGTACCCTCATAATTAGTGGCATCACCAACCTCTGTATCTCCGCATCTATGTATGTCTGTATTAAGACAAAAACAAAATAAAACGTCGTTTCTCTTACAAAACATTTTCATTGCACCCCACAAAATAAATGACAATTTCATTATACACACTAACTTGTACAATAATTTATTTAGGGTCGAAAAAATCAAACACCTCGTACAATTCTTACTATAGGGTTCGGAAAATTCAAACACGTAGAAGTTTGTCTAGCCATCAATGGTGTTTCTACCTTGAAAAAGGAAAAAAAAAAAGAAAAAGAAAAAAGAAATTTGCATTTTTTAATCTGTCTTTGCATACATTTCTGCACAAACTCTGATTATATATAATCAACCCATATGTTTTACTTGCTTCTTTACAAATTCAGGCTTTATTTTTAACTAATTCTCTCTCTTTACTCTTCAGAATTCCTGATTTTCAGAGCTCTCTCAGGTCCCTCTTTCTCTTTCTCTTCATTTTCTTGCAATATATAGAGGTATAGATACATGCATATAGACATGTGTGTATATTCAAGTTCCTTTTCTTTTTTTTCCCTGATGAATCTTTTTTTGGGTATTCTGTGTTGCAGATTTTTTTTTCTGGGAGGGCTTGATGTTTTTGAAGATATAATTTATTCAACAGGATAAAAATGCGGGTAAGGGAAATGCACCCTTTGTGCTGCATAACGTTGGAGAGTCAAGGAATTGGGAACGGTTCACCGGAGCCGATGCTGTTGAGAACTGGGTCGGCGGTGGCGTTCTCCGGCGGTGGATCTGAAGTCAATGCCGGGGGATCTGAAGTCAGCAGCAGTAGCACCACCACCAGTGTGGCTGGGATCCTCTACAAATGGACGAACTACGGCAAAGGGTGGCGATCCCGGTGGTTTACCCTCCGCAGCAACGGCGTACTGTCATACTCTAAAACCCGCCGCCCAAACATAGTGCCCGGCGATGACGTAATCCTCATCGGCCACGTCAAGCCACCCACTAGTCGTAAACGCAGCAAAGCCGTTGGCATCGTGCATTTAAAGGTGAGTATAAGCACTCAATTCAGTTCATCATGAATGAAAAACAGCAATGCATTAATTGGGATGTGATTGAGGGTTCTTCGAAGAGGTAGAGGATGATGAGTGAACAGTGGAAGAGAGAGTGAAAGTGGGGGCTTGTCTTTTATTGCTGTAGTACAATAAAGAATTTCCTTCTATTGGCAAAGAATTGAGCCAGCGAAAATTTACTATGGTTGTTAGCATTTCTATGGCAAGAAAACTCTCTCTCATCTTTCCCTCATATATCTCTTTCTCTGTGTGCTGTCAGGCACCAAATAGCTTCGAAATCTGAGCTTTTTTGATTTTTCATCTGTATAATTTTGTTACAGCAGTTTTTCTCACTAATTAACCAGGCATTAATCTATAGTGCGTCACATCAGCAGGTGAATAGTGGGGGGCCAAATCTGGGGCAAAACTAGTGTAGGCCTATACCTATCTAAGTTCTTATTCATGGTTTTTAGCGTCTGGTCACATCACCATTTTGATCCAAAAAAAGTAAAAAAAAACAGTATTTAGATGAGAAAAAAGGACCCATTTTGATGCAAAGTGATGCAGATTTGGTTATTTGTTTTGGGTATAAAAAATGGTGTTTTGAGGTGGGAATTGGGTTTTTTCTTTTGTGTTTTGATCTGGAAAAACCTAGTATTTTGATGAGAAAAAAAAGATCCATTTTGAAGCAAAATGCAGCAGCTTTGATTATTTGTTTTGTGGGTATAAAGTATGGTGTTTTGAAGTGGGAATTGGGCAAAAGGCAGGATTTTTTTCTTCGTTAAGAAAGGTAGATCTATACAAGTAAAAGAACTTGTAAGCTTTTAAACTGTTTTACATTGTAGCATGTGACCAGAAAATGAATGAAATTGACATTTTCAGAAAGAAAAATTAGAAAATTGATTTGAGGAAAGAGAACTGAGAATCTTGAAATGGATATTCTTGCAAGGTGCTGTTCTTAGCGAGCCAAGAACTCGGTCAAAATTCTTCTCCTTTTTTTTAAAACCCTTTTATGATCCTAAATTCATCCGAGCTGTTAATTGTGTTTTGGGGTTTCCTTGCTAGTTGGCCATAAAGGTAATAAGTTTTATTTAATTTAATGGTTTATACTCTAGGTACTTTTTATTCCTATTAATTGCTATTGAAAATAGTTTATGATGTCAGAAATTTATCCCTTGAGTGAAGTGCCTGATGTTGATAATTACTTGCTTCAAGTAATGGTATTTTAATTGGTTGATTTATTTAATGTAACTTCGCATTTGATGGCTTATTTGAGAAGTGGGTTTTCACTATTTGTTTCGTAGTGATTCGCAAATTGAGATGAACATAAACACTATGTGTGTATATTTGGGCTACTTGATGGAGATGTAGAGTAGTATCAGTCGGACAATTAAATTTTAAAGACACTTGGATTTGTTTGCAGATTTCGTCATTTCGTGAGAGTAAATCAGATGATAGGCGATTTTACTTATTTACGGCTACAAAGACACTTCATTTACGGACTAATACAAACAAAGAAAGAGCGGCCTGGATACGTGCTTTGATTTCAACAAGAAGCCTCTTTTCATTGAGACGACTGAATGAGAATATCCCCATTCTAACTAGAGATTTATCAGTATCGACTGAAAGACTAAAGGAACGCTTGCTTGAAGAGGGAATTGGCGAGGGACTTGTCAAGGACTGCGAGCAGATCATGCTTTCAGAATTTTCTGAAATACAGGGACAGTATAAAGTTCTTTTCGAGGAGCGCTCCAATTTGCTGGACACATTAAGACAATTAGAGGTATTTTTGCTTAATCCTTTTTTACTAGATCACATGTTTATTTGAATTGTTTGAAGCTCTCTTTCCCATTTGGACTATTTATATGCTTACTTTTCTTCTTTTGCATTATGTGGACAATTTTCCAAACTGCTCGGTTAGATGTTGACATCCTATTAGATGCATAAGGCTTGTTTCTGGATTTTATTGTCTTTAAACAACCATAGCCTGACCTTTCTCGGTTGCCTGCATTTGATGATAATTCATTACTAGTTTAAGCTTTAAGTTATTAAGCTGCATTTTCCAATGAAACTAGACAAACCTTATCTCTACATATAGCTTACATATTCATTCAAAAATAATTTTAATATGCACCATCAAAAAACGTCCTTATGATTTTCTTTTGTGATGGAAATTGTTTTTGAACACTCATAATCACTGAGGGACCAAACTGTAGCTAAAATACTAGGCTAAACAAATAGACTCAATTGTAGAAGAACTATGGTTTCGTGAATTCATATTTATGATTTTTTCTTTATCACAAGAAACTCCTATAGAAGTTGGAAATTATAGTGACATCTTTTTTTCATTTTTCATCTATGTGCAATCTCTGGTTATTGGAGAGTCTACTGTATTTTGCAATCGAGAGTAAAAACACCTTTAGTTAAATTTAGTCAAGTACTAATACAAAAATGTGGTGATGTTAATCTGGATAAGATTTTTTAATAATGAGGAAGGGCAAGTGTTATTGATGCTTACACATTCTTATGTTGCATTTCATTTAGTGTTTAATCCCGACTTTAATATATATTTTAGAGCATATGTTCATTATCAAGACAATGTAATTCATTTTAATTTTCCAGGCAGCGAATATTGAAGCTGAAGCCTCTGGAATTAATGATGGTGAATACCAATTGATGAAGCAAGAGTTTTCGAATCTATCAAGTGGAAAAAACATTGGTATGTTATATTTCTTTACACTGCCTTGTGCCCTTGAGATGATTTTTGATTCTGTATCTTGGTTTAAGGTGTGCTGTCTAGTATATATAACATAAGAATTTGGGGTCCAATTAAAATGAAGTTCGGTTTTTGAAAGTACGGGAATAAAATTTTTGGTATGAACTCTCATGTTTGGAGTAACAGAATATAGTTGACTATTTGTTGATTTTGCTCTACCTAGAATTTCTATAGACCATAAAATCAGAGGAACCCTTAATTCGAATTTCATCAAATGCAATCATTTGGATGAGATTTCAGATAACTTAAAAAGTTCCTGCCAAATCCTACCAATATGCGATCCTGGTTTTTTATGTTTTCGAACATGTAAAATCTCATGCAATCTCATTGAGTTCCAAATCTTATAAAACCATAAGACTATTAAGAGCATGTTGAAAGAAATCTTAATATCATTTTGGAATCCAGAGTGTTGTGCTTCTCGGACTTAGTAAAAAGAAGATACTTATATTTTCAATTTATCAGGTAATCTTGCAGTCTGACCCTTAACCGTGTAATATATGTTTTTACGAAGATCATAATAACTTCTACATTATATTTTGAGCAACTGTATTTCATGAATTGAATGGTAAACCTATAGTACAGCCTTCATTTGTACAGAAGTAGTCATATAATTCTGTTATAAAATTCTCTTATGATAAACATGGTAAAGGAGAAATGCAAAAACTACCATTTTTAAGGTTTAAAAAATATTGACAATGGGAAACGGAATTGATTTGGTTCTTGAAACATTTTTTTTTAAGAATTATTAATTATAAAGAGTTAATTATATGATTTTGTTTATAAATTTCATGGTACATTATGCTAATTCTATGAAAACCAAAAACCGAATTATTTTCTATCTAGTACTGGATGGCTAAAGACCCTAATCTGATTGCAGTTATTATCAACCATTGTTAAAATGCAGTAATATGTAATACAATATGAGATTACTCATTATTTTACTTTCAAATATATGTGCCTGGAGAGTTTTTCATGCCTCGTGGGATGCAGAGAGGGAACTCCCTCTCACTACTAGTGAAATCAAATATTAAGCAAGCCTTGCCCCATGACCTGCCGACCTGTAAAAAGTACATAAGTTAGACGCTGGTAGTTTCTGTACGCTTTCCAATTACGATTGGCTTATGTGTGTAACAAACCTTAGAACTGTTAATCTGGTTTTTTGGAAATATTGTTCTTTCCTTGACGTCTTAATATGCAGAATGGAGCACTACAGAATCATCGGATGATGTTGAAAAACAAGACCTTGAGGAAGCATCAGATGAAGAGGAAACTCACTTTTTTGACACAAACGAGTATTTTTCTGAACCAACTATTAGTTGTGAATCACTAGGTATAGATCACATGGATGATGGTGCAAGACTGAAAAATCAAACTAATGATGTGAACAAGGCAGAGGCAAAGAAAAATGTATTTGCTTATAGATACCCACAAGTCGAAAGACGAAATCGGCTACCAGATCCTGTTGAAAAAGAGAAAAGGGTTAGTCTGTGGTCTATGATCAAAGATAACATTGGAAAAGATTTGACCAGAGTTTGTCTTCCTGTATATTTTAACGAACCATTGTCATCCCTGCAAAAGTGTTTTGAAGACTTCGAGTACTCTTATCTTTTGGATCAGGCATATGAGCATGGGAAAGCGGTAAGTTCGGTTTGCATTACCTTTTATCACTCTTTTTCCTTGATTTTTTTAAAAATAGAACATTTATTTTTTTGTTCTTCAATATACTTTCATAGTGTCTTGTTGGCTTTCTGCTTCCTGCCATTACCTGTTGGGAGATGCTAAAATGATTTCTGGCACCAGTTACCTTATGAATTGCTAAATATTTGTGATGCTAATATATTTTTACTTGTTTAACGATTTTGATTAAATGCAAACAAATTCCAAGGATAGAGATTTGAAGGCAAGAAAATGAGAAAGAGACGAGCATTAGAAATGGATGAACCTACTATGCTTATCTAAAGGAGTTTTTTGTGTATGTTATTTATTGATGTTATAATTTTTAATATTATTAGACATGGATGAAACAAATTTTATGAATAATGGAGTCAAAATCAAGATTATATTGTCCTGATGAGTAATTGGTATGGGTATGCAAGTTCAATACTTACGGAATGAAGGTGGGATGAAACACATAAATGCTATCTGATTTTATGTGACCGAAAAATATCTATCAAGTTAAAGGAAAGATTTATGCAATGGCTATTTAGATCATTTGTATATTATGATACTAAATATTATGCCATTAAACGGCATAATGTCTGTAATTTGAAAGTACAAGGTACAATGACATAAAGCCCATGTTTGGTATAGATTCTTTAAAACTCATTTTTAACCACACATTTGTTAAATATTACTTTTCACAAAATCTATTCTAAAAAATAATGTCAAAATATTTAATTCTCTTGAATCTTTTAGAAGAGGTAGCTCTTTATTGAACATAATGGGAAAATAGGATTCATGTAACCAACCCGAAGTTTAATTGGATTAACGCTGGGTAGTAATAGTTGTACATATATGTTTGCCTTATAATTTTAGTGAAACAGTTTTTTTCCTCTTATCTCTGAAATTAAATGTTCTGCATATTTTTTGATCTCTTTTCAGAAAATTGTCTATGATTCTGGAAGAAGATAATGCTTCTTTAGTTTCCTTTTCACAATGGTGTTTGTAGCATAATTGCGATAAAAATTAACGTTAAAAAGTTTGTTGTACTGACTAATCTCTGCAGCTGTTAGAACAAATTTGACTCAAATCAAAATTTAAGTTCTCATATCAAGTTTCGATCATTACTAGTGTTAGCAGCTATGATTCTGCTATTTCGGTAGTGCTTTTGTGATTCTTCGAACTGTGTTCCATGAACTTGGATTAGTTTATGTATTATTGAATTTTGATTGAATTATCTGTATATTTAATTTATGAATTGTACTCGAACTGAGTTGAAGTTACAGAGAAACTTTGAATTTACTTTCTTGAAGATAGTGTCATTAAATAGTTACAACGAGCATGTCTGATTTGTGTAATATAGTTGATTAGTATTTCTGCTAAAGTTTGGAATGTAAATAAAGCATTGACGCAAGGCTTCTTGATTCTATGGTGTGCTGTTTATTATTCCCAGGGAAACAGCCTTCAGAGAATTTTGTACGTTGCGGCTTTTGCTGTTTCTGGATATGCTTCATCAGAAGGCAGACACTGTAAACCCTTCAACCCTTTATTGGGCGAGACTTATGAAGCTGATTATCCCGAAAAAGGAGTACGTTTCTTCTCAGAGAAGGTACATAATATGAACCCCATTGAATACAGTCTGATTTAGGCTGAAACTTCTACATTTCATGAGATGATTTTCGCACAACCGACATTCATTTATCAAATTGGAATTGCATTGATAATTTCTAATTTAGCTTGTTCGCTTCCAGACCATGAAGTAAGATTTATCTTGTTCTTTGACTTTAATTTTTAAAATTGTTGACCAGAATTTTCTTGAAATAGGTCAGTCACCACCCTACACTCATTGCCTGTCATTGTGAAGGTAAAGGCTGGAAATTCTGGGGTGACAGTAACCTTAGATCAAAATTTTGGGGGAGATCTATTCAACTAGATCCAGTCGGAACTCTGACTTTAGAGTTTGATGATGGGGAGATATTCCAGTGGAACAAGGTGTGCGCAACCTGTCCTTATCACAAGTACAATTGATGAGATGTATTAGCCCATCTATTACATGGCAAAGTACATTGACTTTATTTGTGGTGTCCTCAGGTCACAACCAGCATCTATAATCTAATCCTAGGTAATATATACTGTGACCACCATGGAACAATGCACATGCGAGGTAATCGCCAGTACTCGTGCAAACTCAAATTCAAGGAGCAGTCTATTCTTGAACGCGATCCTCACCAGGTTTATATGAATTCATTTGCACATACTTCTAGATGAGATAAACACATTCATGTGACTTTGTTTTCATTCAATACTTATTTTCTTAACTATACTGCTGGAATAGGTTCATGGATTTGTTGAAGATGTGATGGGGAAAAAAATTGCTACATTATTCGGAAAGTGGGATGAAAGCATGTATTTTGTAAATGGAGATGGGAATGGCAAGGTGAAAGATAAGTCTGACGCATGTTTATTGTGGAAAAAGAATGAGCCACCTCTAAATTTCACTCGCTACAACTTAACTTCTTTTGCAATTACTCTAAATGAGTTGGCACCGGGACTTGAGGTATGGACAATGTATCCACATCCCTCTTTTTTTTTTTTTTCTTCCTTCTCTCCACCTGATTTTGGGTATTTGATCACCGGTGAAGGAGAAGCTTCCACCTACAGATTCAAGATTAAGACCTGACCAACGGCATTTGGAGAATGGGGAATATGATAAGGCCAATGCAGAGAAGCTGCGATTGGAAATGCGACAGAGGATGGTAAGTGAAATTCCTATGTGCTATGTGAACCAACTTCTATAAACAGTGATGACATTTGAGTCTCCACTGTTTTATGGAACCCTGTATTCATGTTAATCCAAATATTTTAATATTACAGGCAACGTACATCATTCTTTAATTTATAAATTCTTGACAGATGTAGAGGCCTGCTCACATTTGTTGATGCGGGGTGGGGGAGGGAGTCCCCAACAGAATTAGTCACCAAAAATAATGTAGTTTATTGCAAAATTTCTTCACTACTACTGTTGTTTTGTTATACTTCACCTTTACCATTATACATGATCTTCAATGAGGTATCATCGTTTGAATTGTTGCGCCTTGCACTTTTGCATTGTATTAGCAAAGGTAACCTATCATTGCCAGAAGGCTCCAACCATGTAATAAAATCACTAATGTCCATAAAATACACTCTTTGTATTACGTAAATTCTCTCCGTTAGCTGTTTTAGGATACTTGTTACAATTGATGTTACACTATATATGACTCAGTTATACCATTTATAATCGTGCTCCTCCCATATCCTTGACAGTCCAGAAAATTACAAGAAAATGGTTGGAAGCCCAGATGGTTTGAAAGAGAGAGTGAAGAAGGATCCTTCCGTTATGTGGGTGGATATTGGGAAGCCCGAGATCAGGGCAAGTGGGATGGATGCCCTAATATTTTTGGCGAAATTAGTGAAGACCTCATAAATTCCTTCGAATGATCCTGACTTCTGAAAAGGTAAATGGCTTGCCTCAACTTTTCTGTTCTTAGTTTACATTGTTGAGGATAAATCTAACAATGAATAGATATAACAAAATTATAACCAATGTACAAGGACCTAAGATATACTCATCTTAATAAGGTTAAACTTTTAAGGTGAAATCTAAGTCATAATATGACATTAGAGCCCACTAAGCTCGCACGAGCAATTTGAATCCCATTAAACTTGAGACGAGATTCCAAGATTAATATGCTCAAACGAGTCATCTTCTTGCGGGAGCATGTTAAAGAATAACTCTCCCATCGAATAAATTATAAAAAATTATAACCAACACATAAAGGGTTTGCGCTGCTTCTCTTAATAAGGATAAACTTTGTAAGATGAAATTCCAAATTATTCTAATTTTATCATGCAAATTAGTGGCATCCCTCTTCTCATGATAGCTCCCGAGTTTATAGAGTATTGTTGCTCACACAATATTTATTTTCCTGCTGACTACAAATAAATTCATCTTCGTAACTTGGACGAACTGTATTACTCCGACTTTGCTTCATGTTGCTGGTACATGCAGGACACACTGGTACATGCAGGAGGATTGTTGAGCACAGATCAAATATTTCTGAGTTTTCCCTGTGCTGGAGATGATGCTAGAGTTAGAAAATTATTAATCAAAAAGTACGATAATGAACAATGTATTCTTTAGATAGGTTATTATATAGTGTGGAAAATTAGCTTTTACTGTATTTTCTGAAACGGAGTTTAGTCTTTGTAAGCTTTCGTCTCCATTCGTTGTGGTTCTCGGCTCTTCTTGCTGTGAGCTATGCATTTACTTTTAGGTAGTTATTTGTAATGTTGGTGCCCTGAATAAATATAAAATGTAAACAATAAATAATATAATCTGTAAAGGACTACATATTTCTGTGCTTTTGCAACAATGAATCAGCAAAACTCTCATATAGAACTTGGGAGTAAACTGAAGAGTTTTGGTTACATGAAAGTTTACAGTGTATTGGCTTTATATTTATAGGGATTTTGGTAGTGGTCAATAGGGAGGCTTACCTTGCCTTTTTGCTTCTGTAATAGAGGAAATTTAAGAGTATCTAGAGAGAATTTTAAAATTTGAAGAGGAAATTTTTTTGTAAGTTTAGAGAGTCAAACTTACTCTTTATTAAAAAAAAAAAAAAAGGATTGAAGCAAAGAATTTTTTTTAACCTATTTTTAAGTGATTATAAGATTTCCCTTTAAATTCAAAGATGGTGAGACGCTTAATGATTGAAGCAAAGAATTTTTTGGAGCCTAATTTTAAGTGATTATAAGATTTCCCTTTAAATTCAAAGATGGTGAGACGCTTAACTTGAATCTGTCAATCAAGTCATAAAACCTTATTGGAGGATAGGCTCCCTAGTGATCACATCACAGCCATCAAGAATCTGATCACTTGAGGAGGTTAAAGAGACGATAAAATAATACTAGTGCCTTCGTAACACAATAAAATCTCTATAATATAACTATGCACGTGTTGTAAAAATTGTGTTTATAACAAAATAAAATTTCTATAAGATAATAATAAAAATTAGGGATAATTGCAGCAGATATCCCAAACCTTTTAAATAGTTGCAAACTTTTCCCTGACCTTTCATTCGTTGCAACTGTCGCCCCTAACCTTTCGAAACGTTGCGGCTGAAGTTTCAATGGACGGATTCCATCCAAATGTCTGTTAGTTGACCAATAAATTGAGTGTGACCACATGTTTTATATTTTTTGTAAAGGGCATAATGGTAACTTTCAATTTACTACATTAAAATGAGTTAAAACCAAATTAGAGAAAAAAATTTTGTAGATCTTCTTCTCGCACTTCCTCTCTCCTCTCCAGCATTTCATCTAGTAATTGGTATAATATCCTCACACGCCATAAACGTTTATATATATATATATAT